GGATGAATCAGATTCCAGCACAATTCAATGGACGTTTACTTCATTCTGATGAAGATGCCTTATCATCATTTGAAAATGATGATTTTGAATTATTACAATATCGAGCATCAGTTATGAGTATTCTAACTCTTGAAACAACACTTCGTTCTTCTTCAAATTCAAATTTATTTCAACGAAAACGTGCATCAAATACTTTAGTTACATATACAAAATCACCTTGTTCATATAATGATAAATTTATTTTTTTTTTACTAATTGTTTACCAATTGATAATCTTGAACGAATACCATTTAATATAGCAACTGATATAAAACGTGGTACACGTACGAATTTACCTCATATACAAAAATCTCCATATCGAGATAGTTTAAAATTTTTTGAAACATTTAATACAGCTAATACTGTTGATAATAATAATGAAAGTTATTGGAAAATGAATCGTTCATTACGATATGGAGATTTATATGGAATTGATTTTCAAACAATACAAACTAATCGTAATCTTTCTTTTTCTATTCAATATTTACATCGAAAATCTTTACAAAAAAAAAATTACAAATTTCAATATCACTTGATACTCAAACATGGATTCAATTTCCTAAAAAATATCAAAAAGGAATTATTTATAAGAAACAAAAAAGTTTAGTCATTTTTCATATACGTTTATTTCCAGATGGTTTTCAAATTTTTCGTTTTATTAAATTTATGTCATTAATTGATGATGAAAATTCATTTCATATTTGTGAAATACGTTTGATTAATTAAGAAAATTATTACTAGTCAAAATAAATTTATCAAAACTATCTTAAAAATGAATTAAGTAAAAGACCAATCTTTTTATAATTAACAACAGTAGCTAATTATATCGTGTTTCACATTTTATTCCCATTGGAATAGCACTAACACCTTTTCTTTTTTGTGAGTAATTTCCAAATTGTATCGATGAAATAAATGTTCTTCAATAGTACTTGTTTAATGCTACATAATTAATTGTCGACTTGTAATAATATAGTTCAACATATTTTGAGAAGCTCTTTCTTTTTTTCTTCCCAGATATTGTGTTAACGATTGTATATGTTGTTTAGTTATTTTATTAGTTTTTGTTTTCTCTTTTTTTTTATACATCATCTTTTTCGTTTTTACTTTTCTTCATCAACATTAAAACAAAAAAGTGAAAAATAAAATTAAACACTCACGCACACATACAAACAAAAGAAAAGCGCTTTGACATCATCAATTTTCAAATAGAAACAAAGGTGACAGAACAAAAAAAAAATCTGCTAATACTAATTTGTCTTTGTCGATAATAGAATTGCGCAATTATTTTCTTCAAATCGCTGTGTAGAGATACATAAGATATTCATATCACAGTAACAAAAAAAAAAAAGAAAAAAAGAAAAATAGAAATAAAAGATCTTATAATATGCGCGACTAGAATCTATTGCATAGAGGGAGAATATGATCATTTAAAAAAAAACAAAAAAACAAACAAAAACAAATAAATTCTTGACTAGGAATAGATGACAAATTTCCTGAGAGAATTATAAAAATTTTGGCAGGCTAAATGACTCAATTATTATTATTATTATTATTATTATACAAATATCCCACCATCAGCATCTTGTGCTCGTTTAAAACTATCCCATAGTGCAACCATTATTTCTCCCATAACAACATCATTTGTATTCATTGCAACAAGACGTAAAACTAGAACACCATCAGGTTTTAAATATTTGTTTGAAAATGTATGAAATAATTTTCTATCAAATGATTCACGCGTTATTCGATTCATTATTTTAAGATATTTTTTAAGAAAATGTTCACGATTAAATGGTAAAATTTGTTGCCATATACATATTAGAAAACCATATGATGATAAAATAGAAACAAGGACAAGCCAAAACCATATGAATATAAAAATTTTTTCATTAAATAAATTCACGGGAAGCACGCACTAAAAATCAACAAAGCAAAAAAAAATAAGAGAAATAAATATCAACTGAGGAAGTGTACGCCGATGCATCAAATTGGTGACGGAAATTTTTCAATAACTATTTTTAGTAACAATGACGTCAGCTCAGCCGATCGGCTTATACTTCTAATAGCAGATAATCCATCAATTCGTTTTTTTTGTATGCATGTTAAAAATAGAAAAAGGTTTTCTTTTTTTCAAAACAGAGATTAATCGTCAACAATATTTTGTTCGTCTAACATCATTTGTGATCAATTAAAAATTCAATAAGTTAGATGAGTTGCTTATCTATTTAGTCGATTGATTATTCTATTCTTAAATCAAGACATATGTTTGTAATATACCTGTATCGTATGTTTATGTATATGATCAGCCATAGTACGAATTTCAAAGTCACACATTGTAACTCGAGGAAATCGTGCTGAACGACAACATTCACGGCCTGATAATAAATTTCGTAATACTTCAATACCATAACCATGATAATTTGAACCCATAAAAATCTAAATAATAACAAAAAAAAAAAATACAAGAAATCGAAAACAAAAAAAAACTAATTTACATTAAGTAAAAATAATTGTCCAATAACATTTGTAATATACAATAATTTAACAAATAAATAGACAAAAGTTAAATAATTGCCTTGAGCACGACCAATAATAAAAAATGGACAATGACGACGTAATATACGTGTAAATTGGGAAAAAAATCCTGTGCCCATTTCACGTTGAATTTCAAGAGCACGATCAATATGTTTAGCTATATATCTGAGTGTACGATCTCGTATATCAGGATTTAATTGTTCCATACTATGTAATGTTTTAACAAGATTAGCTATATCAAAACCTGTCTTTGTGGAAAATGCATGCCATAAAACAGAGGGAATGTAAAAAAGGACAGACATAAGAAGTAATATAAATGGGATCCATTGATAATAGGCTAAAAAATTAAAAATAAGAATAAGAAAAAAAAATTCAAAGCTAACCAATATGTTTCGGTCGTTCATCATGTCTGGCTGGCAATGTACTTTCAAATGGCACATAATATGTATTAGATATCCAACAGATATAATTGGCATATTCAACATGAGAACCTATGTAATAATAAATTTTTGTAAATAATTTTTTATTTTTAGCAACAAAAAAAGAGCAATTTGAAGATACTAAAAAACAAAAAATTGTATACCACTTTTCTGACTACACTATACTAAGAGCTTATATTTCAGAATATTGAATGAATTGTCTACACAAATATATAAGCTAAAGAATTGACATATTAGAAATGTGTTGTTATATGAGAACACTACTCACTTTCTTTTTTTTTATTCCTTTAAATATTGATTTTTAATTTCTCGTTTATAATTATATACAAATGTTTATTTTATATTTCAAGACCAACAAAAAAAAAAACAATACTCAAAAGAATTACTTTTTTCTTTTCAATCTACAATCAATTAAAAAAATTGTTGTTTATTTTTCCTACTTTCTTGATTTTTAGAATTCTTCTTATTAAAATCAAGATTTTCTATCTCATGAGCAACAAAAAAAAAAAAACAAATTGATTTTGCTTTTTTAAGAATTTTACCGGTAAATTGTGCAGGAGCAAAACAAGCAATAGGATCACCAACATATTGTTTAGTAGATACAACAACAGTAAATAACATAAGTAAAATGACAGAAAATCGTCGCGATAATCGATCATATAAATCATCATCATTATGAAATCGAAATTGGCGTACTTTGGCGACGGCATCGAGAAAGCCTGCTACCATGCTAGAAAATAAGATAACAAATAAGAAAATATATTAGATATTAAAATGAATTCTTAAACTCACTGATCAATATGTTCATCATATTGATGAAGATGTAGTAAAACCTCAGAGAATGTCATGGTATATAGGGAAATATTTTATCATTATTATTATTATTGTTTTTCTTTTCTTTTTTCTTGTGAAAAGAAAAGGTATTCTATAAAGATTTGGATAGAATGATAATGGCCAGAAGGAAATAAATTTTTTTGCTTGAATACACATTGAAACAATAGAAAAAGACTGTATAGAATAATTAATATTATTCCCATTTGATTATGATCTTTTAAGAATAGAGAAAAAAGAAAAGTTCTTAGTATGTTCTCATAACTCATATTCGTGTTTGTTTTTTTTTTCTAAAATGAAAAATAAACGTTTACCGAAAATGTTGTCGTACAGGATCATAATGATCGATTGTCATCGTTTTTATTATAAAAATCTAGATAATGATTGCTTTTCTTCTTTTTTTTTTTTGTTTTATAAAGTTTAGGCGAAATGAGAAAAAAAAGGGGGAAAATCAAAACACGTACATATTTTAAAATACATGATAATTGAGTTTTCTTTAATATATGAAAAAAAAAAATTATCTATTGAATTTTTATTAGATATTAGAGATGCAAACATACTTAAAAATTCTATAACAATTTTATATATATATATATTCATATAGGAAAAAAGAAAAATATTTATACAATTGTTAACATTGATTTTGTTTTAATATTCGGATAAAATTTACTATATGAATCGATTCTAAAAGAAATCAATAGATAATTAGTTGTCTTAATTGAACGACAAAAAAAAACTAGATTGACTATTTTTCAGGTAAAACTCACTCAGTAATATCAATGATTTTTCAATAAGCTTATCAACAAATTGTGCAATTGAATTCATAAAATTCAATTAATATGATTAAGCCATAATAAATCATAAGACTCGAAGCTATAGACTGACAAGATGAAAATAAGAAGAAAAATATTCTTATTCGAACTTCTATATAGTAACTGCATGTAAAGTGAAAATTGAATGAACTGATTCAACTCTGATATGAGCAAAATCAACTCGATAAGCTTTGTTTTTTGTTTTTTTTTTATTTCGAATAATCTTTAACTCTACATAGCAATTCTAAATGAGCTATTGATAAAATAATCTAATCAATAGAGTAATACCCTTTCTAATATATCAATGATATAGTTAAATTTACTAGATATCCAACTCTTAGAATCAAATGATTTTAGTTACTCTAGTCATCGTATCGTAGTAAATAGGAATTGAACGACATGAGAAGTGCTGATTTTCTTTTTTTTTTTGTTTTGCATGACAATATTGACTAGGTAAAAGCAGCTTACATGCCATGATATTGGAATAATAGGAAAAAAAACAGGAAAGAGTAAATCAGTAAAAAAACAAACTCATGTTGAAACAAAACATGTTTGTCATCTATATTATTAATTGATCATCTCTAGTTCCTTTTAAAACATTACAAAATATTCTAATCATTCAACTCGTTATATAATGATGTTTATAAAATATATATATATATATTATCTTTATTTTTGATTGTTTTCTGTCTGTCCTATAGAGTAATAAGTTTCTTTATCAATCTATATTACACAATAAGCATCAAAGATCTATATTATTTGAAGGTAGAGAATATTTTGTTTATATATAATAATATTTATTCTTTTTTAAAATTTGATATTTGGACGATGGATAAAGTATTTATATTTGTTAATCGATAATTTATCAAATTTATTATATAACATTCTTTTGAAGATTTAGAATTATCATGCATCGTTTAGTTTTTATGATCGATCTATAAATGGTCACTCTAATGAGTGATGGACTGTAAACGAATTAATCCAATATATCTCCCATAGAATGTAAGTGAATCTTTGAATAGTATTTTCTTTTTTTTTGTGTCTATAAGATTTAGAATTAGCTCTATTCATTAGAAAGTTGGATAAGTCCATTCTATTTCAATTCTAG